ATCACACTGGGCCCCCCAAGGTGACTGCAACCACCTCCTCTTGAGGTCTTCCACTGAGTTGTCCTGTAAAGTGTTGCCCTTGGCTTTTTAAAAAAAATATATCTTTATTGATTTCAGAGAGAGGAAAGGAGAGGGAGAGAGAGAGATAGAAACATCAATGATGAGAGAGTCATTGATGGGCTGCAGCCCGCAACCTGGGCATGTGCCCTGACCGGGAATTGAACCCTGATCGCCTAGATCCTAGGTCAATGCTTAACCACTGAGCCACACCCAGCTGGGCCTGCCCTTGGCTTTTTACCATAGGTTACTAAATCACACAGGGAACAGCTCCAGCATTTGCTGTGAGATTTTTGTCAAAACTTGCTCGTTACTTCACACAGTGCCCTAGAGAAGGCACCATCCGATTATTTCCTGGAACGTTCAGAGACAGATGCAGCACAGTCCAGGTGAACTCTCAGATCTCAACTCTGCCAACTAGCCATTTGATTTTGGGCAAGTCACGTAACCTCTGAGACCATTTCTTCAAACTCATTTTTTTTATAAGGTTGTTGTAATTAGAGGTCATAATGTACATGCTCTTGGAAGGATACTCCACACATAGTAAGAGTTTGAGAGATGATATTTTTATTATGAAAAGCTTTCTCTCTCTAGAAAAACTAAGCATGCTTCTTTCTTTTTGATCATGAGAGCTATATAATGGACTGTTTGCCTTTTTGCCTGGTTGCCAGGAAGCTCAGGGCCAGACCTGAAGTTCAGCCATAGCAGCTCTATTACCCTGTGGATGCTTCCTCCTTCCTTAGTACTGGGCTTTCCTTTTTGGTTTATTAACTTTATTGCCTCTTGTAGTTACCCATCTTAAATCCTGTTTGGAAAGAGGTAGCATTTAACTGCAATCTGGTTTTTCCCAATGACTATTCCTCTCTAGGGACAAGAGCCTGGCTGGCAGAGCTTGGGTGGCTCCGTGTTCCCATCCCCAGAGGAGGTGCCATCTGCCACCAGCCCTGGCACTGAGCCCACTGGCACTGAGCCCACCTCAGAGCTACTGGGAACAGGCACTGTGCCAGGAGAGCTGTCCACTCCATGGGCTGCTGGGGACTCAGAGAAGAGTGAGTGCTGGGTATATGCATGTGGCTGTTAGAGGAGTGGGCAGTGGGAGAGGCCAGGGCTGGGGTCCATTCTCCTGCCTCCATTAGGTACCGATGCTCTGACAGACCCAGTGACCGACCCTGGACCTAACCCCTCTTCTGACACAGCCATATGGCGTCGCATCTTCCAGTCCTCATACATCCGGGAGCAGTATGTGCTCACTCACTGCTCTGCCAGCCCTGAGCCAGGCCCAGGGTCCACAGGCAGCAGTGAGTCCCCCTGCTCCCAGGGCCCTGGCTCCCCCGAGGGCAGTGTTCCCCTGGATCCCCCCTCTCAGCAGGGATGCCGCAGCCTGGCCTGGGGAGAACCTGCAGGCTCCCGCTCCTGCCCCCTGCCTCTGCCCCCATTGGCGCCAGTCAAGGTGAGATTCAGTCTACATCCATTTACCATACATCCAGCAAACATTTGCTGACCATATGCTGTATGCCATACATTGTACAGTGGATAAGTCTAGCTGAAGAGCTAGGTGGGTAGATCTATGATACCATGCAACATACAGTGATGAGCACAGGGACATGGTGTTATGGGGGCTTAGAGTTAAAGCGACTAACCCTGTCTGAGGGAGTCAGGTAAGCAAGAGCCATATCTGGAAGAACAAGTAGAAGTGAGCCAGGCAAAGGACACAACATGAACAAGAACAAAGACAAGTAACAACCTTAAGTGAGAAATAGGGTGTGGAGTTAGATGACACTGAGAAGGGGGCCAGAGGCCATAGGAGCCAAAGGGTCCAATCAGGGCCTAAGGAGCCTTTTTCCCAAGGGTGGTGAGCAGCCGTTCAGAGTTTCAGACAAAGGGACATGTGGCCAAGTATGTGTGTATCATGGCCAGGAGCTCTGCATCTCTTGGCCAGTGGACCCCACTTCTCACATGCAGGCTGGGGCCTTGAGTGCTGAGGTGCTAAACCGTCGACGCAGAGTGGCTCTGGCTGGCAGAAGCCTCTCATCACCCCCAGGCCGGGTGAACCCAGTTCCTGGTCGTCCCCGGCACCCATCTCTGGGTGCAGCACCAGATGGGCCAGGCCTTGAGTCAGGGCAGCAGCTGGGACAAGGCCTGGATGACTCAGGTAAGGGTTGGATGGAGAGTTGGATTCTGACACCAGGGAGGCCTTGGGAAGGTGGGGCCCAGGGCTCCACACTACCCCTGTCCCTGCCATTATTTCCTCAGGAAACCTGCTCTCGCCAGCCCCCATGGACTGGGACATGTTGATGGAACCACCCTTCTCATTCACAGCTGTGCCCCCTGATGGGGAACCTGCCCCACCAGCAGTGCCACTGCCTCCCCAGGCTCCGCGCTGCCATGTGGTGATCCGGGCCCTGTGTGGGGAGCAGCCTATGTGCTGGGAGGTGGGTGTTGGGTTAGAGACACTATGGGGTCCTAGGGGTGATGGCTCACTGCCTCCATCACCCCATGAAAGAGAAGGTGCTTGGGACCAAGCACTCCATCGGCTGACAGCAGCATCTGTGGTCCGGGACAATGAGCAGCTGGCTCTCCGAGGGGCTGAGACCATGGCTGACTGGGGTGAGTTGCTGGTGGGTCCAGTAGGCCTAAGGAGACTGTATGGGGCAGAGTGGCAGAGGTATGGGTCTGTTTGATCACTCACTATACTGCACCTTGCACACAATTTGAGGTTGCCCACCCACATTGACAGGGGAAAAAATTAAGCAGGGCAATAGGGAAAAAGAGGATACTAAAAGGAAGGGGAGGAGGTTTATTAAAGGTGCACAGCAGGAGGCAATGTGCCTTTGCAAGCATGGGACCCAACCTTAGCAAGCTTCTTAGTAGCCAATAGAGGGAAACAAGTTCTTGTAAGGATTTACAGTGCCCATAACATAAAAACAAATGTCACTCAAGAAGACTATGAAAACCAAATAAAGTTAAAATTTCAGTTCTGCAGTTACATTAGCTGCACTTCAAGTGCTTAATAGGCACACATGACTAGTGGCTACCATATTGGACCATGCAAATATAGGACATTTCCATCTCACAGGAAGTTCTATTGGACAGTGCTGAAATGAGTGGATGGAAAAAGCACCAGTCAATGCTTCCTGAGAGGTGTCCAGAATGTTGAGTTTTGGGGTGGCCAGGGGGGCCAGCCCTGCTATGGGTTGAGGGTTCAGCCTAACCACTTCTTGTCAAAGTTGGGGAGTCCAAGCTGGTCCTGATCTTGCAAAATTCTACTCTGTTCAAAAGTGGACAAAGCAGCTATGGGAACACTGAGTTTTTCTATGAAGCCCTCTGTAGGGGGGGCAGGATGGTGGGAGTACACCCCCTCCTGTTCAGCAAACTGCTCCTTGGGTTTCACAGACCATGCCCGGAGGTCCTGGCTCCGAGCCCTTCAGACAAGCAAGGTCAGCTCTGCCCCCTCCTGCTTCACTTGCCCGGTAGCTGTGGATGCTACCACTAGGGAGGTCCTGCCCTCAGCCCTGCAGGTGCGGAGCTCAGGTAGAGTCCCTCCCAGGTGACCTCTCAGGTGCTGCCCCTCACCTCACTGGCCACCTCCCAAACCTCAGCCCTGTCTTCTGTGCCCCTGCAGAGCCAGCTGAGCCCCCAGGCACCTCTCCTGCCTCTCAGGGCCACCTAGATGCAGCTCCTCTGCCCACAGTTGTCCACTGTAAAGGTAACACTCAAATTTGGGGAAATTGTAGGGAGCACCTAGGCTTAGGGATCACAAGTAGCACTGATTGGCTCCATTGCAGACCTTCAGGGAGGCTCTCTGGCAGGTGGCTCGGACCCAGACCAAAACGACAACTCCAAGTCTGCTTTGGAGGACCCTGCAGCCCCTACTGGAGGTCCTCATACTATGTCCCCCCAGCCTCCTTTGAGGCTCAGCCTGGGCTGTCGGAAGGCCAGAGGCTCAGAGAGCCACAGACTCTGCAGCCCCAACGCAGGCCAGGCCAGTGACAGCAACAATGAAGGCAGCAACCATGACTACCTGCCCTTGGTGAGGACTCGGGAGGTGGAGGGTGGTGTTATAAGGGCCAGGGCACTGTCTCAGCTCACTTCTCCCCCCACCTCCTCTCTCCTCAGGTGCGGTTGCAGGAGGCACCCGGCTCCTTCCGCCTGGATGCGCCCTTCTGCACTGCAGTGCATATACCACAAGAGCGCCTGTGCCGTGCCTCACCCTTTGCTGCGCACCGAGCCAGCCTTAGCCCCACCTCTGCTTCATCTCCCTGGGCACTTCTGGGCCCTGGTGTCAGCCAGGGAGATAGTGCCACGGCTTCCTGCAGCCCGTCCCCCAGCTCAGGCTCCGAGGGTCCAGGACAGGTGGACAGTGGGCAGGGTTCAGACACTGAGGCCTCAGAGGGGGCAGAAGGGCCAAGTGGTGCCGACCTGCGGGGCCGGACCTGGGCCACAGCAGTGGCACTTGCGTGGCTGGAGCACCGCTGTGCCGCTGCCTTCGGTGAGTGGGAACTGGCAGCAGCTAAGGCTGACTGTTGGCTGCGGGCACAGCACTTGCCTGACGGCCTTGACCTGGCCGCCCTCAAGGCTGCAGCCCGGGGTCTCTTCCTGCTGCTGCGCCATTGGGACCAGAACCTGCAGCTACACCTGCTGTGTTACAGCCCAGCAAACATGTGAAGGCTGCCCACTGCTGGGGCTGATGCCCCCCAACAGACTCAAGTCACTGCCACCCAGGGCCGGCTTCTCGGTGCTGGGAAGGGGTAGGTTGGTGACAGCCTATCCCCCACTGCTTCTCATCCCCTTCCCAGAATCCTCTTTCCTCCACAGAAAGTGCCTGCCTGTGCTCTCTCTTGCTCCCTCCACCCCCCCGCTCCTTCCCCTCTGAGCTTTGTACAGTGCAGTAAAAGGGGAGAGAGCCAGTCCCCAAATCCTATGCAATAAAGTGCCTCTTAAAACCGCCTGAATGAGTTCTTTATGTGCTGCATGCATACTCCTCACAAGTTGGTCTAGGCACTTCTATGCAGGCTGCACAGAAGTGGACTTGGGGTAAGGTTTATTGGGAAGGGCACGGAGTCCATCCACATCCAGGGTCCTGAGAATGGGGAAGAGGTGGATCTCAGTGGGCTTTCTTGCTGTGCTGGATGCTCTTGGGGAAAGGCTGGGGGCCCAGCCAGAGCTGCAGCAGGATGACAGCATGGCATACATGCAGGGCAGCAGAGCTGCAGGATGTGGATGGATATGTGTTCCAGGAGAGCTCAATGAGCCCCAGCACCAGCAACCTGGAGATGAGAAATAAATTCCAGGTTTTATCCAGTTTCTATGCTCCAGCCCTTCAGCTCACCCCCAGCCCCTCCATGGTCACAGCCTTGGGATGAGGAGCTCGCTAACCCTTACCCCTCCCCCAGGTTGTCCCAGCCAGTACCTGAGCAGGTGTGTGAGCCAGCGTGCAGGTGTGGCCCACAGGAGGTAGGGCAGTGTGTGGAAATACCAGACGTAGAACTGGTAGTGGAGAGAACGGCTGAAGCAGATGCCAATGAAGTTGGAGGTGAAGAGGGTGGAAACTATCTGTATGCAGTGGTCAAGGCCAAGGGCAGGAGCAGAAGGGGAAGGGAGTGGGTGGGGGAAGACAGGGAGGTTCCAAAACAGAGGGGTAAAAGTTTTTGGGTCAGACAGCCCTCTGGCTCTACCATTCCCAGATGCATATATTTGGACAAGTTTCTTAAGTTCTCTGGACCTGTTCCTCCCTCAGTCTAAGGTGGATTCCTGGGGCCATAATACCTGCAGAGTCCATCACTTCCTAGCTGGGTGACCTTGGTAAATTATTTAACCTCTTAAAGCCTTAATTTTGGCCATGGCTAGAGTGGCCCAGTGGTTAGAGTGTCAGCCCATGCACCAAAGGGTCATGGGTTCAATTCCTGGTCAAGGGCACATAACTGGGTGCAGGTTCAATCCCTAGCCCCCGTCAGGGTGTGTTTGTGCAGGAGACAACCAATCAATGTGTCTCTCTCACATTGATGTTTCTCTCTCTCCCTCCCTCCTTCCCTTCCANAGTCCCCAAATCCTATGCAATAAAGTGCCTCTTAAAACCGCCTGAATGAGTTCTTTATGTGCTGCATGCATACTCCTCACAAGTTGGTCTAGGCACTTCTATGCAGGCTGCACAGAAGTGGACTTGGGGTAAGGTTTATTGGGAAGGGCACGGAGTCCATCCACATCCAGGGTCCTGAGAATGGGGAAGAGGTGGATCTCAGTGGGCTTTCTTGCTGTGCTGGATGCTCTTGGGGAAAGGCTGGGGGCCCAGCCAGAGCTGCAGCAGGATGACAGCATGGCATACATGCAGGGCAGCAGAGCTGCAGGATGTGGATGGATATGTGTTCCAGGAGAGCTCAATGAGCCCCAGCACCAGCAACCTGGAGATGAGAAATAAATTCCAGGTTTTATCCAGTTTCTATGCTCCAGCCCTTCAGCTCACCCCCAGCCCCTCCATGGTCACAGCCTTGGGATGAGGAGCTCGCTAACCCTTACCCCTCCCCCAGGTTGTCCCAGCCAGTACCTGAGCAGGTGTGTGAGCCAGCGTGCAGGTGTGGCCCACAGGAGGTAGGGCAGTGTGTGGAAATACCAGACGTAGAACTGGTAGTGGAGAGAACGGCTGAAGCAGATGCCAATGAAGTTGGAGGTGAAGAGGGTGGAAACTATCTGTATGCAGTGGTCAAGGCCAAGGGCAGGAGCAGAAGGGGAAGGGAGTGGGTGGGGGAAGACAGGGAGGTTCCAAAACAGAGGGGTAAAAGTTTTTGGGTCAGACAGCCCTCTGGCTCTACCATTCCCAGATGCATATATTTGGACAAGTTTCTTAAGTTCTCTGGACCTGTTCCTCCCTCAGTCTAAGGTGGATTCCTGGGGCCATAATACCTGCAGAGTCCATCACTTCCTAGCTGGGTGACCTTGGTAAATTATTTAACCTCTTAAAGCCTTAATTTTGGCCATGGCTAGAGTGGCCCAGTGGTTAGAGTGTCAGCCCATGCACCAAAGGGTCATGGGTTCAATTCCTGGTCAAGGGCACATAACTGGGTGCAGGTTCAATCCCTAGCCCCCGTCAGGGTGTGTTTGTGCAGGAGACAACCAATCAATGTGTCTCTCTCACATTGATGTTTCTCTCTCTCCCTCCCTCCTTCCCTTCCACTCTCTCTAAAAATCAATGGGAAAAATATCCTTGGGTGAGAATTAACAACAACAAAGCCCTAATTTTGCCATCTGTAAATGAGAATAATAAAAATGCTTCTCTATATCAGGGTCTCCTGTGAGCTTTAAATGTTAGAATATATATAAGTCTCTTAGCACAGCATTAGGCAGAGGATGAGCACTCATAATAACTCAATAATATTTAAAATTAAGAATAAACATGCTTCGGTATGTAAATGCTCAGCACAGTGTTTGGTACAGAGTAGGAGCTCTAAGGCCCTGTAGCTATTACTGGGGCCTCTTTTTCTCTCCCCCAGGTCACCAACCACCCAGGGCTACCTGACCAGGGACCCTATCTGCACCTGGAGAGGGCAAAACTTACCTTCCCATGACTTAAAGGATATGATTGGGTGTGAGGGGCTGGGGTGGAACCTTCCTTTTGGAGGGATCCTTCAGCAGCGACAGGATACTTTCCCCTGTCCTGGGGAGAAGCCATTCAGATATTTATCAAGCTCCCATCGTGAGCCAAACTCTAAAACTCACTTACATAAGCTCAACATCTCCCCCAAGCAGCCCCTAAGGCCCAGGCTCTTCACTCCTTCCCCTAACTCTGCCCATGGCATGCTCCCCTTTCTCACCTGTGCCACCTGCAGAGAACAAAGAGCAAGAGCAGGGTGAGGTGGGTCGCCAACAGTGCCAGGTGGAAGGCACGATTCAAGAAGAGGGTCTCGGGGAGGAAGCGCCAGTTCACTGTCCAGCGGAAGAGAAACTGGCGGCCAAGGTCAAAGGAGCGGGAGAGGTAACCGACGGGATTCTCCAGCAGGAAGGGCAACCCCAATACCACCTGAGGATGGGTGTGATGTCAACAGAATAGCCCAGGCTCACCCCCAGCATCATACTAATCAGAAGAGTGGGAATAGGATGTAGGTCTCAGAGGTTCCTTAATTTCCATCAGTTAAAGCAAGAAAGCAAGTCCCCACCACTGCCCCTGCCAAACCCCGGGGCCAAAGAAGCTGAGAAGGCAGATAATGAGAGTGCTTTAAGTCATAAATGGGCAGAGCTAGAAAGGCCCTATGAGACCATATAGTTCAATAACCTTACTATACAGCTAAAGAAACCAAAGCCCAGAGAGGTAGTGGCTGCCCAGTCCAGAATCAATTCCAAAACCCTTGTCTCTTGGCTTTGAGGAAGTTTCAAGGAGGAAAGGAGGCCAGAGTGGCCTCCCCTTCATTAGAAAGGGGAAGGCAGGAGTACCTGTAGGACAGCACAGATGCCCAGCTTGGGTAGGGCCCCACGGAGGCCAAACTGTGTGAGGAGAAGAAATAGTAATCCAGGGGCAAACAGGAGCACGTTCATCTTCACAGAGACTGCCAGGCTAGGGTGGGTAGAAGAGAGGAAGGGTGGAGATCAGCTCCAGGGCCACACACCCCACCCAAAGATGCAACTTCCCCACCATCAGAGCAACTCCTCCCCTCTACCACCAAGCTCCAGGATGGGGCCCACACTCAGAACTGCTGGAGGGAGAGTAAGGTAGCCTGGGAGGAGGCTGGGGGTAGGGAGTAGATACCTAGTCTCTATGCCCAGACTGAGCAAGCAATATACACTGAGTATTAAGAATGTTCAATGACCAACTCCAGTAACAGATGCTGTCTGGAAGGAAGAGAGGATTGGAAGAGGAGTTGTGTGTATTGTGTGTTAGAGTGGAGACTTTCTACAGATCCTAGACTCACCTACTGGGGCCTGAATGACCACATTTTCTGGCCATTCCCTTACTCCCTTTGCTGCAGAAAATTGGGAAGAAAGTGATGGAAATACAAAAACTAAGAAAGGGGACCAGAAGGAAGGGATGTTGACCTGAAACAGCAGCAACCCCAGCCCCAGCGCTGGGCCAGCATAAGGTTGATACTGAGGAAAAGCAGTGCCATGGCCACTGGGTCATTGAAGAGCCGCAACACAAAGATGGAGTGGACACGGTAAGAGGCGCAGCACATGAAGAAAAAGACGAAGGGGGGTACCTAAAAAGTGGGCATAGTGGGGAATATGGTCAGCTCACCAACCCTGAGCCATCACCACACTTCAGCCCTCCCAGACTGGAGACCTGGGTCCTGGTATTGTGCACTCACCTTGCAGGTCTGGTGGTAGATCAAAAAGACAAGCAGCAAGGTGGCCAGGTAGAGCACAGCAAAGATATGCTGGGCCATCCGGATGTCAGTGCCATGGCCAGTGACATAGTATAGCCCCATAAAGATGTACACAAAGCCAGCTGGGTATCTGAAAGATGAGAAGGAACATTAATCTGGGTCAGGCTACCCAGACTGGTACCAGTCAGCCCCTCACATCCTCGCTGAACCTGCTATCCCCACTCACACAAGAGGTCCAGTGTCACCCTGCAGCTGGGTATAGTCATAGGTGCCGTTGATGACGCCCTCTACCTCAGCCATGTAGGCCTTCCAGTCAATCTCTGTATCTGGAAAAGGAAAGGACAGTGTGGTTACTTCTAAGTCTAAAACTTGGCTGCCCCCGACATCTCCAGCCCATCAAAGCACAGTTCCAGTTCACTCTCAGGGATTCTATTACAACCCTTTACCTAACTGCCTACCTGACATTCTCTGGATGAACTCAGGCATCTCAAACTCAACATGTCTGTAACTGAACTCATAATCTTCTACTCCAAATCTGCTCCCCTTCCTGGGTTCCATGAATGGCACCATCAACCTCCCAGCTGCCCAGGTCACAAATCTGAAACTTCCTTCCCCCATTTCCAACCCCTAGTTACCATGTCCTATCTATTCTTCATTCTATAGATCTCATCCTTCTCTACTATTACATACCAAAATTTGTGCCTAACATAATCTCTAGCCTCAATGATATAACAGCTTCCTAATTAGGCTCCCAGGTTCCACTTTCACCCCACCACAATATATTTGCCACTCTGCAACCAGGAGCTCTTTCTATAATAGTAATCATATCATGCCCCTCTGCTTAAAACCCTTCAATCATTCCCCAGGCTCTTAAGATAAAGACCAAGCTCTATTACTCCCATTTTTAGAAAAGAAACCTAAGAATTACTGAGGTTAAGTGATTAGCTCAAGATCAGCGAGCTAAAAGGGTAGAGTTGAAACTGGAATTCATAGGATCCTAGATTCTTAACCACTATGCTAACTATCTCAACACAGCTTACAGATTTGTAAGATCTGGTCTCAACTTCTGCAGTCTCATTTCTTAGTACTACCCTCACTTGGGTTCTACGTTCCAGTTCTAAAAAGACCCCAGAATTGAATAGATGAGACCCAGCTGGGGAAGTGACATGTCCAAATCCACAGAGACCACCAGCAGTAGCAGTACATTAACTTGGACCCAGGCCTTCTTACTTCCAGTCTGATTTACTTTCTTAGCCTTGCAGGC